CAAATCAATGGCGAAGCAATCCAGTCTCTATCGGCCTCTATCTCGTATATAACTTCTCAGTTACAAGATTTGGTGAACAAAAACAAGACTGATTCTGATATTTCCGCTTTACCAAAGCAACCTTGCGTATCGGACGAGCTTACTGATTATGTAGATGCCGACAGTGCTGGTGTTGATAATTCTTTTGTCATACAAGAATCGACTAATCCTCGAACGAACAATGGGAGCACTACCGAACCAAGGCCAATTAATCGTGAAGAATACAATAATCAGTTTAATGAGTTAAACGGGAATGCTTCCGTAAATCCTATAGAAGTGAACCCAAATAGTGCATCCGCTGATGTTTCTATAGAAGATAATAATAGTACGAAAGCACATCACCCTACCTACGCAGAAAAAACGGCTAATCAAACCGCTACCAAAACAAACCACCAAGATCCTATCAAGAATAACCTAAGCAAGAATTCGGAGCATACCTCGCAGAGTGTGGTTTCTGAGGCCGGACAGTCGCCTGATGATTTTATTGGAGTTCAGCGTAAACGTGGTAAGACTAAGAAATTGTTCGTAACGGGAATCGCTGAAAGTGTAAACAAAAGTCAAATCCTTTCTTACCTTAATCAAAGAAATATTTTCCCCACTTATATCTCGGTTTTTCGAAGCCGCCGTCGAGAGACTCTTTCGTGTAAACTCCATATACCCTCAGGCGCCAGTGCACTGGTGGAGAAGGAAAACTTCTGGCCCACGTTTGTTACTTGCAAACCATGGCGACCAAAAGATCATGACATGAACACAACTCAGAAGAAAATAAACTCAACCCAGAATGGGAGCTACTCAACCCTTGTATAATGGCGGAGACACCCTTGCAAAACATTTCTACAGTACACGGTATGGGAAGGTCTAGAAGACAGCATTTCGGCCGACTCAAACCAATGTGTACTCGAAATCTCAGTAACCTTGTTAAAATTCCTATTACCAAAACTCATTCTCCAAGAACTGAATTCGTTCCAAAAATTATGCTAACCAATGTCATGTCTCTAGTTCCTAAGCTTGACGAGCTACGTATTTTGACCTCTGCACAAAGTTTTGATTTGGGTTTTATAACTGAAACTTGGCTGCGAGAGTCCGTTTGTGACACCCACGCGACTTTATTTGATTCCCACCTCGTGAGGCGGGATCGTAGTCTTGGTATCCACGGTGGTGTCTGCATGTACATAAAGAATTCCATCCGTTTCAAACGATTACCTGAAATTGAACATTTAGTCTTTGAGGTTTTATGGACACACATTAGACCACCAAGATTACCAAGGGGAATTAACGGCATTGTTTCTGCGTGCGTCTACCATCCTCCGAGTTCCAGCAATACAGATCTTTTTCAATACCTATCAGACTCACTGACACTACTGGAAAGTCTTTTTCCAGGCTGTGGAATTATTATTGCTGGTGATTTTAACCACTTTGACACTAAAGATCTTTGCCGAGATTTTCAGTTAAAACAATTGGTTGATAAACCAACTCGTGGTGCCAAGATTTTGGATCTTAATTATACTTACAAACATGCATAAATTTTACGATGTACAACCAGCCATGGTTTTCCCTCCTTTCGGATTATCAGACCATAATGTGATAATGGTTGAGCCCAAAGTTAAAACATCATCAGAAACCACAAGTAGAAAGACAGTAATAAAAAGAGACATACGTCAATCACGCAAAAAAGAACTTGGTCGATATCTGAGTAACTTTGACTGGCAACTTATCGATTCCTCCGAACCGTGCGATAAGAATTGTGATATCTTATGCTCCGCAATAAAGACGGGTTATGACATCCTTATGCCTGAGAAACACGTTAAATTCCATCGCAACGACAACCCATGGATAACCGAAAAATTGAAACAGCTGATCAAGTTTCGACAACGTGCGTTTTCATCTAATAACACTACTCTTTTCAAATTCTACCGAAATAAAGTGAATAGAATGAGAAAATCTTGCCGGGCAGACTATTTTGCTTCAAAAGTTGCTAATCTGAAAAAGTCTAACCCCAAATCTTGGTGGACAGAGGTTAAACGTATCTCCGGTATGAGACCTGTATCTGGCAGTTTGCTTAACCAACTTCATGTCGAAGATACAGAACATTTAACACACAAAGGTTTTGCAGATTTAATTAACAAAAGCCTAATAGAACCAATGAATACTTATGATCCCTTAAATGTTACAGATTTGAACACCTTGTTTGAGGAGATTCCTGATTATCCGTTAGATGTAAACATGAATTTGACAAATACTGCATCGGTCTTGAAAAAACTGAAAAGCTTGAACCCGCATAAAGCTCCGGGCCCTGATGATATCCCCAATTGGATTCTTCGTGATTATGCCGAAATCCTTGCTCCTCTGTATCGGACTTATTGAATTCGTCCTACAAGCAAAAAAGACTGCCCTCATGCTGGAAACAAGCTAACATTACACCTATTCCGAAAGAGAAACCTGTTAAAGACATAAGCAAACAGCTCCGACCTATTTCGTTAACTCCGGTTCTGTCTAAACTTGCAGAAGAGTTTGTTGTTGAAAAATATATCGCTCCAGCAGTGTTGTCGTCAATTGATCCTTTTCAATTTGGTGGCATCCCTCGATCATCTGCTACAAAAGCCTTAATTTCTATGGTTCATGCGTGGACTCAAGCCACAGATGGAACTGGAAACGCTGTAAGAGTGGTTCTTTTTGACTATAAGAAGGCCTTCGACTTGATTGATCATAAGATCTTAGCCACGAAAATCATCCAATTGCCAATGCCAAATTTCATTAAGCGGTGGGTAATTGACTTTTTGATGAACAGGCAACAACGGGTGAAACTTGCAAGAGACTGCATGTCTGAATGGATTGACATTCCTTCCGGTGTCCCTCAAGGAACCAAATTGGGACCTTGGTTATTCATCCTAATGATAAATGACCTACGCCCCCCACATCATGAGCGATGGAAATACATCGATGATGCTACGGTATCTGAAATCATTTACATCAACACACCCAGTAAAATTCAAGATACAGTCGATTGTGTTCAAAATTGGTCTGTAGAAAACAAGATGCAATTAAATGCCTCCAAGTGCAAGGAACTTGTTATCAGTTTTACAAAACCTGAGAAAGAATTTCCGCGCCTTAAGATCATCTCAGGCCAAATCGAGACAGTGAACCACGCAAGAATCCTAGGTTTGACAATTTCTAAAGATCTAAAATGGAACCAACACATAACTAACATAGTTAAGAAGGCGAACAAACGGATTTATTTTATTATTCAGTTGAAACGTGCTCATGTACCTGAAGCTGACATAATAAATTTTTACCACTACCTGCGTCAGACCAGTCATGGAATTCAGCTGTCAAGTTTTCCACTTCGCCCTTCCTTCCTACTTATCTAATGCCCTGGAACGGGTTCAAAAGCGTGTTTTATCAATCATCTATCCACTGACAGGTTATGCGGATTGTTTACAAAAATCGGGCATCAAACCATTAAGTGACAGGCGTGTGGATGCATGCGAGAAACTGTTTAATGAAATCACCACAACACCAGTAGCTAATATGCATAATCATGTACCATCTAGATACTTTCCAAATTACGACCTTAGACACTCAAGGTCTTTTGTTGTTCCTCAGACCAAAACGAACAGATTTAGAAACAGTTTTTTCCCTTCATCTGCAAGGCATATCAATAATATTAACTGACAATCGATTCTGATATTCAGTTTTAGACTGGCTAACTTTTTTTTAGAAATTTACTAGTTTCATAGCTAATTTGTAATGTAACTTTAAACTTCTGTAATATAGAATTATAAATTGTAATGTAATTTTAAACTTCTGTAAATATAGAATAACTAATTTTAATCATTTCTCTTGTAAAATTTAGCACGCAATTCAGCCTTATTGGCTGCTATGTGTTAATCTTATTAAACAAACAATCTATCTATCTATCTATCTATATATATATATATATATATATATATATATATATATATATATATATATATATATATATATATATATATATATATATATATATATATATATATATATATCATTAACGCCCAATGCGCCCGTATGCGCCCTGAGATTGACAAGTGGGTAACGGACAATGCGCCCGAATGCGCCCTGGCATGACACCTTAACTTGCGGGCATGATATTTGAGCACGTGTTTATCGGGTTGCCTAGCAACGGATACGAAAATAGAACGTGAAATTCGAGCTTTTCAGCGGTGTATCATGCAAGAAAATCGGTCAGAAACTCGCAAAGTTTTTCAAGTTTAAAATCTTAGTTTTCCAAAAATAATGAATAATGGCGATTCTGTTACAAAGAAAGATTTTACAGCAAGTTTTAAAAGCAAGAAAAGAAGAGGTTTCTGAATCAACTACAACGAAAATTTGGCATGAAAGGAAAGCAAATGTATTGACGTTTTGGGGCCAAGTTTTTCTGTGAACCATGCGCGAGATTTTCAGCCAAAAAGATGAGGATTTCTCCAAACTTTATTAAAAATAGAAGTCGGAAATCACAAGAAAGATGACCACGGAACACAAGTGAGCAGATACGATTTTTTAAAGGGTATTTTTGAGTAGAAATATGCGATCAAACACTCACAAAATTCGACTGCATTAATGTTGGTTGAATCTAGTTTAAAGTTATCTTTTTAGACGAACTGTTTATGCAAATTTGGGCACAATTTCGACTGTTTTTGTAACCCCATTGTTGGTCTTCTTGTTCAAGTTGTTATTTTAGCTAAAGTATGTTTCAAACGACACCAGATTAAATTACTGTGTGCGTACGTGCCCTATTTGGCAAGAATACTTCGAGTATTAAATTACACTAAGTAAGTAGGGTACTCCAAAATCACTGTTATATCTATTTTCATCAATTTAGTCTTAAAATGACACCTCGTTTCAGACATATTGTGGTTTGAAATAAGTGTATTGAATTAATGCGCTTGCTTGCCGCGTGCGAATTCTCAAAAAGTCCGCACTTGAGTTCTAAAGCTTTTAAAATGCTTTTTGTATTGGGTTTTATATCCCCATAAAACTTTAAATCGATAAGACAGATAGTAATGTTGATCCAACCTCATTTTCTAGTAACTACATGTTGAATCAGAAGGAAAAGTTATCAAAATTTGGTCGCGACGGTTGTTTGCCGTTGTTGTCGCTTCTCTCTGAAATGGCTTCCTTTGCGGGAAGCCATGAAACTGAATTCCCAACAAAAACATAATTTAGCCGTCCTTTCGGGCCCATTGCTCGCTTATTTATCATGAAATCGTTTCACTAGAACATTTTTAATAATGTCTATGGGAAACTTTGTAATTTTCTGAACTAAAAGTTTATGGTTTTGAGGTGTTT